GTTCACGTTCGACGCTGCTTTTGGGTCGCAGTCCACGCAGCAGCAAGTGTACGACACCGCCGCCACGGCCATCGTGGAAGCTGTGATGGACGGGTACAATGGCACGATCTTTGCATACGGCCAGGTTTGTCTTTTGCTTGCCCATCGCCTAGATATGTGAACGAAGGGCAACATGTAGACGGGGGCGGGCAAGTCGCACACGATGGAGGGGTACCCTGACCCCCCCGACCAGCGCGGGATCATCCCGAACTCGTTCAAGCACATTTTTGACAAGGTCTCCTTTCGCCGCCTTGTATTATTGGTCGCACCATTCGTGACCGTCTTGTTGATTTTGTCAGGTGGCAATCACGAAAAAGAAACAAGTGCTTGTGCGTGCGTCGTACTTGGAAATCTACAACGAAGAGATCCGCGATTTGCTCTCCAAGGACCCCAAAGCTAGCCTTGACCTCAAGGAGGTGCTACCCCCCCCCCAATTCCATACATTCTTCTCCTCTTGATATTCGCACAAAATGCCACTTTATGCAGAACGTCGACTCGGGTGTGTACGTCAAGAACCTGACCGCCCAAGTCGTCAAGGATGCCGCCGAGATCGACGCCGTGATGCAGCAAGGTAGTACAGGGGTGCCACCTCCACATATCTATAGCTTTAATTATTGTATAATCCTACTTGTAAATTCTTCAGGCAAGAAGAACCGCAGCGTGGGGGCCACCATGATGAACCAAACGTCGTCGCGGTCGCACTCTCTGTTTACGATTGTCGTCGAGTGCTTGTCCGACGGAATTGATGGAAAAGACCACGTGTGCGTTGGCAAGCTCAACTTGGTACGTCATACACCGACGTTAATCATACGTTGGGGAAGGCAACATATTATTATATATCTATACATTTCGTAATTTTGTTCATATATCCAATGTTGACGGGGGATGTTGTTTGGTAGGTCGACTTGGCCGGGAGCGAGCGGCAAAGCAAGACGGGGGCAACGGGGGACCGGCTGCAGGAAGCCAACAAGATCAACTTGTCGCTGTCGGCGCTGGGAAATGTTATTTCAGCTCTAGTCGACGGCAAGTCCAAGCACATTCCTTACCGCGACTCGAAGCTCACGCGGCTGCTGCAAGATTCGCTGGGGGGCAACACCAAAACGGTCATGATTGCCAACTGCGGGCCGGCCGACTACAACTACGAGGAGACGCTCACAACTTTGCGGTACGCGAGCCGCGCCAAGCAGATCAAAAACAAACCCAAGATCAACGAAGACCCCAAGGACGCCATGATTCGTGAATTCCAAGAAGAAATTGACGCGCTCAAGGCAAAGTTGGCGTCGTTTGCAAATGGAAACACAACTGGGGGGGATGGCGGGGGGACGGCGACGACAATGTGCATGTTGCAAGCCCCGCCAACCGTGGAAGTAGTGGAGAAGGTGGTGGAAAAGGTGATTGTGGAGAAGGGCATCAGCGAAGAAGAGGCCCAGAAGATTGCGGACAAGGCCAAGCAGGAAATTGGCGCTGTGCGGAAACAAGCGGCGGAGGAGCTGAGTGCGGCGGTGAAAGACAACGCGCTGGCCGAGCACAACAAGCGCGAGATGGAGCTCAAGCTCGAAATGGAGCAAAAACAGCAAGAGGAAATGGTCAAACAGCAACGCGCGCTGCTTGTCAAGCTCGAGTCGATGGAAGCAAAGCTGCTCGTGGGCGGTGAAATCATGAACAAAGCGGCCCAGCAAGGTCTATATATATCACTGATATGACCCATAAAAAAATGACTTGAAATATCTCTGAAAAATGACCTGCATTATTTTGAATCTTGTACGACGTTTATTATAATAGAGGACGAGTTGCGCAAAACCAAACTCGAGTTGGAAGAACGCAAGCACCAAGAACTCAAGCTGGCCAGGGAACTAGCCGAACGCGAAGAAGCCAACTTGATGAAAGAAGAAAAGGTAATAAACGAATTTGTTAATATAAATCCACGTTTATCGATATACTAACCGAATTTCGAATATATATTTAATAAATATACGAACCAAATGTTGGGATTTGATGGGGGTGGTGGTAGTACCAATCGCTGCAAGAAGAAGCCGAGGCCAAAACGAAAAAGCTCAAAAAGGTGTTTGGCAAGGTCAAGGAAGTGCTGGCGGATATCAAACAAATGGAAAAAGCGCACGGACGGGTATGTATTTCATCATATTTCGCATGGCGCCGCTGTATCGAAGTGATCCTCCTCTCATATAGGAACGCGAAGATTTGCTCGATACGATCCGAGAACTCACGGCGCAGTTCAAGCTCAAGACCCTCGTGCTCGAGTACTTTATGCCGCGAGAAGCCGCGACGGCACTCGAAAATGCTGCGCACTGGGACGACGAGGACGACAACTACCGCCTCGACCATGTGGAACTATCAGGTGGATCTCGTCCAGTTTGGAAAGAGCCGGTTCAACGAGTTTCATGTGACACTGTTTTGGTGATGTGTAGGCAATGCACTTCGCCCGCGACAACGCCCTGCGTCGGCTAGTGGCCTCCGACGTCCAGAAACTGCCTCGGAAAAGCCCCGCAAGGTACCCCGACGTTTGGTTTTGGAGGCATTTATAACCCCTGCATGGGGTAGAAGTACGTGTCCAATGAGGAAGAGCATGGGGGCCTCGAGGTTGAAGTGCACGTGGAGCGGAACCAATACTTGGTGTACACATCCGATGACGAAGGCGACGGGTACGCGCTAGCCGAAGACAAAATCGTCAACCCCCCGGTGGCCACGACGGCCAAAGACCGACCGAAAACCTCCAAAAAGTCGTCGAAAAAGCCCAAAGATGGCAGCACGACGAGCAATAGTACCAGTGGAAGCAGCACCAAACGCCCTGAAACAGCGAAAAAGCGTGAAAAACGCGAAAAGTCCTGATCGCCCGCCTCTGTTGTGAAAGAAAGTGTTCGTACTGCCTGTAGTCTAGCCCAAGTAGCTCTCCGTATAAATCGAATTCCATCGTCCTTGGCATAGCTAAGTAGAAGTCAAAATATATTACAGTAGTATATCGAACCAATGATGCTGTCAATTGGGCAAGTGGCGCCGTTTCACTTTGTCACGACTGACTGGTCAAACCAAAACTTGTTCCATGCGGGAGGGGCTCGTTGTCGTGCGATATGTGGGTCTGGCGATGTCGTTTTGTGTGTTGGTGGCATTGACGGTTGTGGACTTATCGTGGTGGGCTCGCGTCCAGTCGTTGCTGACACTGCCCACACATGGAACCTCCCTCCTCCGAGAGCACGGGACCACGCACTCATCGTTCGTGCGTGCTGCCGTACTGCACGTCGCTCGGCCGGACGAAGCCTCTTTCACTCCGATGTTCCGTCGCCTCCATCGCAGCTGGATCGCCATGTCGTTGCACGAGCCGCCCTCTTGGCGCACTGACATCGTTGTCGTAACCGACGCGCCCTACGTGTTTGAGTGGTTGGCGGTGCTGAATTGCTCCGTGCACCCTCGACAGAACGCGTCGCAGCCCAACATGTGTGTGGTCGCGACCAAGTTCGCTCCTCATTCATCTTCGTCTGGGGTGAATTTACCTCCGGGATTAGATCCCAGCATCGAGGTGTTTCGGGCGTTGAGCGTCGTGTCGGCCTCCACGTACGACTGGCTCCTCCGAACCGACGTGGACACGTTCCTCGCTCCTGGTTTTGCCACGTACCGCCCCAACTCGCTGGCGGTCAATGTCGGCGCGTACATCCAGCCCAACTGCGGCACGACCACCCACTTGGACACCATCGCAGCGCGGCTGAATTTGACAAGTCAAAACGTGTCCAACATCGGGTCCACATGGTACGGTCCGACAGCCCTCATGCAGACCTGCGCGGCGCAAACCGTGGGGCTCATGGAGACGTTGTACCTGCACGACTTTACAGACGTCGAGAAAAGGCCGGCCTATGGAAACCAGGGGTGGCCCCAATGGCATGTGGGGGTGCTGGGGTCGTACGCCGGGCATCTGGCTATCCGACATTGCACTGCATCAGTTGGCGTCGTCTTGGCCGGGAATGTGCTCAACGTTCCGTCGACGTCGGTCGACATGGCCAGCCACGTGGCCCACATTCACGCGACGCACGACGACGACGACGACGCTATTCTGTCTTTGCCTCGGAATAACACCACCAAGGACGCCACAACCGTTCGCGACTACACATTGGCCATAACGTTGTCCTCAAGCTCTGTCTTGTCGCCTTCGCCAGCCAGCATCACCTCGACATTTATACGCGCCGCGGTCGTGTACTTGCCGTCCACCGAAGCTCGTTTTCTGCACGAGTTTCGATGGTTTCATCGCAGTTGGCAGGCCATGCAAGCGTTCGAGCCTCCGGGGTGGCGCACGGACATTGTCGTCGTCACCAACGGCCTCGTGCCGACGCTGGACGAGCTCAACTGCACGTCGATGCCCCGTGAACACGCCACCGACCCCAACCGGTGCATCGTAGTGGCCACTTATACCAGCTTGTACTCGCCGGCGTTTCCGTATGCGTACGCGGACTCTGTCAATGTGTTGGCTGTGACGCCGTTGGGGGCATACGATTGGGTGCTCCGGACAGACATGGACACGTTCTTGACGCCCGCGTTTGCCACGTGGAAGCCGTCGCTGTTTGTCGTGGGCATGGGGGGGTACAATGTGATGGGATCGACTAACGACCGCCTCGACGCCATCATCGTCCAGCTCAACTTGACCGCGAAAACGGTGGATAACGTTGGCTCGACCTGGTACGGCCCCACTGCTCTCGTACAGCAATGCGCCCAGCTGTCCATGGACGTCCAAATGTACATGTATGCAAACGAATTCACGGACGAGGAGAAGAGCCCTGAATACGGCATCAAGGGTTGGCCGAATTGGCATGTGGGGGTCCTCTCCATGTACGGGGGGCACGTTGCCATCAACCACTGCACCCGCGACTTTGGGGTTGTCAAGGATGCACACAATTTAGACTTTCCCACCACGTCGCATGAGTCCCCCACGCGACATGCTCACCTTCATACGTGGCAGGATAGCAACCGGTTCTCCAAGTTTGCGTTCGCCGACGGCGCGTACAAAAACGAAAACAAGTCGGCGTTGGATCTGGATGACATTAGTGATTACGCCATGTACATGGCGTTGGATTCACAGCCACGGGCATAAGCATGGCAAACGGTAGTCTTGACGAACGATTAGCTTTTATATGCTGAAGTGGCCCCAATAAAGTACTAGTATGTGTGTGTGTGTGAAAGATTACTTTCAAGTCGCCTAGCGTTATTGACAAACATCAACTTGACTTGCAGCTTGAACGCGGGCGACTCAAACGCAATACGTTTTTTACAAGTATAAGATAGCACGATCGTCACGACAACAAGTGTTATGGTGAGTGGTAGAAGGCCTTAGGAGGTGAGGCTCTTCACACGCTGGGCAAACGTCGTCGCCCCCATTTTCGTTGTGGATACCATCGAAGTGCTATCGACACACGCAGGGTATATACGCTGCAGAGTTTCCATCATGCGCTCGTGGTATGCAGCGCATGACGGTGAGTCGCGGAAGGCTACGACTTGGGCACTGGTGAGTCTGTCGCCCTTGACTAGAGACTCTGGGGATATGCCTACAAGTCCCCCCTGAGCTTAGGGGGAAAGGTGCAATACGGGGCGAACATGGTTGGACCTACCAACGGCGCTTGTACATTTAACGACGTGGGGGGACGACAAGACGGCAGAGAGGGCTAGCTGGACTGTGCCCGACGCGCAGAGGTGCAACGGTTCGTCCTGGGCCATCGCGAGCAAACTGACGCACGAGTACATGAACAGCTTGTTGATCCAATGCATATTGCGTTATGCAACACATATATGCGTTGGCAGTGGAGCTGTAAAGTCCATGGGCGTGGGTCATAGATGACAGCTACTACAATGGTAAAAGGCGTGCACACTAACATAAAAGGAGCTCCACGCCGCGGTAACATTACATGTATAGCTATGGTTCGTTTCCAAGAAAGTTGTCAGGGGAGTTCCGGTATCCTACGGCACATTAGCTAGCTACCTTGCTTAACGACTATACAGCTGTATTGAAGGGCTAGACCGTCATGTCAGCAGCGACCGGTACATGCTTCGCTTCATTGGGGATTTCACTTTACATGGTCAAGGAAATTTTCGAATACACTACTCACACATGTATATGTAGTGACGTTTATTCGCGTTTGTCAGCTAGCTAAGGAATCTTTTGCGCCTACAACTAGCGGACTTCGCATACATCGTACGTTTAGATGTTTGAGTGCTGAGTCTGTTGCAGATCGTGGGGAGAATTGGAATCCGGATAAAAAGTGAGAGGTTCGAACAACGGATATACGTATGTAACAACGGCAAATAAGATTAAAAGTAACTATCCTGCACTTCTTGCTGTGAAGCGCTACTAGTATGGCCGTGGGGTGTTTAACCTCGCTAATGTCAGTGTTATATTTGCTGCCTTGACGAAGGTCCCATGGCCGACGAAGCGGAAGACAAAACAAATATACATTTCGTTCATTGTTGAGCTTTGGTTCATTGTTGAGCTATTTATTGAAGATGGTACGGCAACATACTTCCAACGAAGAAATACCAATAACCGCGACCACAATTCCGTCACCAACGATGAGTGGGTCGGATAGTTCAAGTCAGCGTTCGAGAAAGACCCTCAAGACCTGGACGTTTTGAAGCAATGTCTGAAGCGAGCGATTCGTTTCAATATGAAGATCTTGGACACGGAGTCACGCGTCTGTCGTATGTTGGACGAGTTGATGCGCTCGTTGGAGCAAGACCATCTCCATCAAGAAGGCAAGATCGTCGTCGAAGTAATAACGAAATCGATCAAGCTGGAATCGTTGAAGATTCCAGCTTGACGATCTGTGTTTTAACGGACACCAGTGATCTGTTTAGGGGTACGATCGCCACACAAGTACCACCTGCGGACCTGGACTTGCCTCTTGAAGACCAGTGGCACCAGCCGCTTGCCTTTATTAGTGGGTCGTTTTCTGGCGCGAGTGCGGCTGATCTATCGTCGAGAAGGAGGACTACAGTAGTCCCCCACAATACCGAACCCACGTAAAGTCGATATCCTTTCCAAATGTATAAAATTCCAAAAGACTCATACATCCGTTTTTTCATAATTTGAAATAGTCCACAACACATGATAAACAAGTATTTGGTACTCAAATCATGCCGTCGCCACAGCCGTCGAGGCTACGGCTGACGAACAAAAATCAACGTTGCTCGAGCACCATGAGTCCAATCCAACGCTACGAGGCCTCCGCCTCGCCAATGGACGCTCGCGGCTTTCCAGCTGCCCAAACTACTGTACCTGCCAAGTCAACTATGTCGGGGTGGCTTACCGCATACTGCATACTGGAATACTTGACGAAGTAGTATACGAATTGACTAATAGTTTTAATAACTCGTAATGTGATGGGTTTTGACTTCTGGAGTTTGCCAGGGTATCAACCCCCTCCTGAATTCGAATATGTTATCCACCCAATCAGGGCACTTTCGTTGTCGTGGTTTGACAAAACATATGGATTATTCTGACCAATCAGAGACTTGGTACCCAAGCAAATATCCTGTAGCATTTAATACCTCTTAGTCCTGTGATACCTCTAATATCGGATTGCGATCAAAGGTTCGCTATTGTGGGGGACTACTGTACTGGGAAGGACGGAATGCAACGCCCACCGAAGATATTTGTGTGTCACACTTTGAGTTATCCAATCATACTCAAGTATCAACATTGGTGACTCTGATTGGCTATAATTTAAATAATGAAAATCAATAAAAATGTTAATCGGAAATCCTTCAGGTACTCATAACCTCTTCTAATCAGTTTCACTGTACTA